AGGGTCAATCTAGACCAAACTCGACATTCCGGAGCTAACCGCACTGACGGAATTCTCATCCGAGCGCGTTTACTCAGAATGTTGACCAAAGTCAAACTTAGGCTTAAACTTAAAGTTAAAACGCCTAATCGCACCGACTCACACTGAAAACCTCGGGAGTCATGTCGACCATGCTACTAGCCTAAAATGACCCTTCCGGAGCTGATGGAATCGTCAGAATTGGATTCCGATGTCATCTTCTTGAACTTTTGATTGAAAATGATCGTTCAAGGTTCATAAGCTCCAAAACACAAAAACTCACACCAAGACCAAACGAACGACCAGGTGACCGAACTGTCAGTCCCAGCAAGTCATAAATGACTTGGGGTCGATACAGGAACGCTCTAAACGACACACAGAAGGCAAGACACAGAAATGACCAAGAGGGTCATTACATAAAGTATTTGCCTCTTATGCATGTAATCGTGACAAGGAATGGATAATAGACACTGGTGCATCCAACCACATGATCTCTCACAAAGTTATGTTAAATTTTAAGAAGCCTGTTACTGCTTATAATAAACAAGTATATCTGCCAAATGGAGGGACTGTAGAGGTATCACATATTGGTAGTTGTGATTTAATGGCTGGGAGATCTGTGAAAAATGTTTTATACATTCCAGATTTCAGATATAATCTACTTTCAGTATTCAAAATAACTAAGGAGCTTCAATGCTCAGTTCAATTTTTCCCTGACTATTGTGTGTTCCAGGACCTCTCAAGTGGGAAGGTACTGGAGATTGGTGAAGAAAAAGATGGACTCTACTTGATGAATCACAAAAAGAATGGTACTGATTACTCATTAAAAGGAATGGTTGCTACCAAGAATAAAATGGACATCCTTCTTTGGCACAAAAGGATGGGTCATGCCTCTGTAGGAACTATGACTCATTTGTTTAATATTGACTCTACTGAATGCAAAAGGGTTTTAGACAAGTGTGATGTGTGTCCACTAGCTCGACAATAGCTCGACAAACCAGATTACCTTTTCCTAATAGTGAGAATAGATCTTCTTGTATTTTTTATTTGTTGCACTTGATGTATGGGGACCATTTCATGTTTCCACTTTTGATGGTTATAAAATGTTTCTGACTATTGTGGATGATCATTCTCGCATGACTTGGATATATTTGCTGAAATTAAAAAGTGATGTGGTAGTAGTATTAAGGAATTTATGTAAGCTAGTCAGTACACAATTTGGAAAAAGAGTCAAAGTATTGCGATCAGATAATGGAACTGAATTTGTAAATTCTAATTGCCATGATCTGTTCACATCTCTTGGTATCATACATCAAAAATCCTGTGTATACACCCCACAACAAAATGGGGTGGTAGAGAGAAAGCACAGGTACATTCTAGAACTAGCCAGGGCAATCAAATTCCAGGGTTCTATACCTATCAAATACTGGGGTCATTGTGTGCTTGAGGCTGTTTACACGATAAATAAGTTGCCATCTACAACACTCCAAAACAAGTTTCTTTTTGAAGTTTTCCATGGTGTTAAAGGGTCCTTAACACACCTCAGAACCATGGGTTGTTTATGCTATGCTAAATGCTTACCTCCTGGTGATAAGTTTGAGGCCAAAGTTGTTCCTGCAGTACATATGGGTTATTCAGAGGTTACAAAGGGTTATGTGTTGTATAATCTACTTACTCACAGTTTTTTCATATCTAGGGATGTTAGTTTCAGAGAGGACTCTTTTCCTTTCCAGACTCCATCATCCTCTCCTACTGTTTTCCTAGACACATTTTCAGATTTTTTTGATGATACTTACGTTAACAACCCACAGTTGCCTCCTCAACCTAATGATGGTCCTGCTATCTCAAACATTATTCCTGATATTGTGGTTGGTGATATTGATATTCCTAATATGCCTGCTGTTATTGAACCTAGACCTTTGAGGCAGTCACACAGAGCTAGGAAGCACCCTACTTGGATAACTGATTTTGTAACAAATGTTGCTTCTACATCATCACTTCATCATTTATCTCAATGTTTGCATTATGATAATCTCTCCTCACAATACCAGTCCTATTTGTGTGCTTTTTCTAGTGTCACTGAGCCTCAGTCCTACAAGGAAGCATGCTCCGATCCTAAGTGGATTTCAGCTATGCAAGAAGAGATACAAGCACTTGAGGCAAATAACACATGGCTTATAGTACCCTAACCTCATCACAAGAAACCTATTGGTTGTAAATGGGTTTATAAAGTGAAATTTAAGGCTGATGGTACAGTGAAAAGATATAAGGCACGATTGGTTGCAAAGGGATACAATCAACGGGAAGGCCTTGATTATCAAGATACCTTCTCACCTGTTGTGAAGATGGTCACAGTGAGAAATGTTCTATCAATTGCTGCAGCCTCTCATTGGCATATACATCAGATGGATGTGTATAATGCCTTTTTACAAGGTGATTTGAATGAAGAAGTTTACATGTCTTTGCCTGAAGGATTTTCTAGCCAGGGGGAGACTTCAGGGATGGTATGTAGGTTAGTAAAATCATTATATGGGTTGAAACAGGCAAGTAGGCAATGGAATGTTAAACTGACTGATGCATTGATTGATTTTGGTTTTAACCAGAGCAGCCTAGATCATGCATTATTCATTAAGAGACATTATGCACAAATTGTAGTGATTTTGGTATATGTGGATGATATGTTGGTAGCTGGTAGTGATTTGGTGTAAATAGAGCAGATCAAATAGGAGCTACATGCTAGATTCAAGATTAAGGATCTTCGAATTCTAAGATATTTCCTTGGCATAGAATTCAGTAGATCAGATAAAGGCATACTAATGAACCAAAGAAAATATGCTTTGGAATTGATAGAGGAGATGGGATTGACTGGAGCTAAACCATCTTGGACACCACTGGATAATAACTTGAAGTTAACAACCACATTGTAAGATGAAGCCATGAATGTTACAAATGATCATGTGTTGACAGACAAAGGTCCATACCAAAGATTGATTGGAAGATTATTATATTTGACATTAGCCAGACCTGATATTGGGTTTGCAGTACAAACATTAAGTCAGTTTTTGCAGTGTCCAAAGAAATCACACATGGAGGCAGCCCTAAAGGTGGTGAGATACATAAAAAGAGAACCTGCAATGGGAGTTTTGATGAGCAGCAAGAAAGAAAGGGAGTTAATAGCCTTCTGTGATGCAGATTGGGCAGCATGCCCAAATACAAGAAGATCAGTGACAGGGTTCTTAATCAAGCATGGAGAGTCTTTGATTTCATGGAAGTCAAAGAAATAAACGATTGTATCAAGGAGTTCAGCAAAATCAGAGTATAGAAGCATGGCTTCCACTATATCAGAATTGGTTTGGATCATTGCATTATACAAAGAGTTAGGGGAAGAAATACAGCTGCCAGTAAAGCTCTTCTGTGATAGCAAAGCAGCCCTACAGATATCAGCAAATCCAGTGTACCACGAGAGAACAAAACATATTGAGATTGACTATCATTTCATCAGAGAAAAGATACAAATGGGGCTGATTCAGGCACTATACCTAAGGACACAAGATCAGCAAGCAGACATTATGACAAAGGGGTTGGCAAGAGCACAACATGAACATTTGGTCTCCAAGCTGGGAGTTTTGAATGTATTCACACCCACCAGCTTGAGGGGGAGTAATGAGAAAGGAGTTGTTACTTAGACGACTTAAGTTAGTTATAACTAACTGTTAGGAAAATCTGTTAGATTAGTGAGTTGTTAATACTTTAACTAATTGCCAGTTGTCCATGTGATTAAGTTGTAGAGTCTATATAAAGTAGAAGATTAGTTAGTTTTTCCATCATTCAATTCATTGTATGATGGAACAGTTGAAGATATTTTGAGATGATTTTCTTCTAGAATTTTCTTCTTTTTGTTCATGTGTTCAATTCAATTTCTCAACAATAACAATATATGTTACACTTATTTATGAAAAAATACAAGTAATGTTTGAGTGCATGTTGGACATGACTGTGCTAAAAAACTATTTCAACAATGTGAAATGTTTTTTTCAAAATTAAGCAAGTTCCCTTCCCGTCTGGTATATATCATCGCAAGATAAATGATGGGTAAATCAATGCATACTATGTATCATAAATACTAGTATTAATTTGTTGTACTTTTTTTAAGTTTACGTATAATTTCATGAAAGTATTAGGTTCAAATGAATCTGATGTGATACTCTTCATCCGTCCCTGTCTTTTGGGTAACTGTTGAACCACTTTGTTACCTTTCCAGAAGCAATGTCAAAAACACTTATTTCCTCAAACTGATTTAAAATCTCCTGATCTCTATCAGACTTCATTTACATTTTTAGTTTCTCTAAATTATGAAGATTGTTAATGTTTGTTTTCATTTCTTTTATGAAAGGTGACAGAGCAATTAACTTCAGGGCAGTTAAATTGTAGTTTTCACACCTTGAGACTTCCGTCCAACGTAGTCTTCCATCAATTGATGAGGAAGTTGTGGGCTTTAAAGAAGATGCAGAACATATAATGCACAAATTGACACAAGGAACAAAGGAGCTTGATGTTATATCAATCTTTGGAATGCCGGGGCTAGGCAAAACAACTTTACTCATGAAAGTGTACAACAATCCCTCTATTGTTAATCACTTTGATGTTAAAGTATGGTGTTCTGTTTCACAAGCATATAATAGGCAGAAGTTGTTGGCTGAGGTTTTTAAGCAAGCAAGACGTGATAAGAGCGAAATCAATGAGGGTAATGACATAGCTGACAAGTTGCGCAAAAATTTATTAGGCTGGAGATACCTCATTGTATTAGATGATATTTGGGATGTCAAGGCGTGGGAAGATTTGGGTTTATGTTTCCCTAAGGGTGAAAATGGAAGCAGGGTAATGGTAACAACTCAAATTGAACAAGTGGCTAAGCATCTTCAGCACCATAGTAATCCTTATCCTCTTAGATTTTTAACACGGGCTGAGAGTTGGGAATTATTGCTGAAAAAAGTATTTCGAGGAGAGACTTGGCCACCGAGTCTGTTGGGAGCAACTCTACAAGTTGCCCAACATTGTAAGGGATTGCCTCTTGCCATTGTCCTAGTTGCTGGCCGAATTATTGGGGAAAAGGATAGGGAGGCTCCAGCTTGTGGCTGAAGGTTGCAAATGATTTAAGTTCTTATGTTTTAGGAGAGTAGAGCATGAAGTGATACAGTCAAGTTATGACCATTTAGAAGGTCAATTAAAGTCTTGTCTTCTTTGCATGGCATTGTTTTCGGAAGACTATGAGATTCCAGTGTCGAATTTGACGATGTGGTGGATGGCTGAAGAGTTTGTACTAAATGTAGACAAAGAGAATATGGAGGAAGCATCTAGAATGTGTTGGAAGGATCTACTTAACAGAAGCCTAGTAATGGTCTTTCATTGGAGTTCTAATGCTGACATAAAATACTGCATCCTTCATGATGTAGTGCGGGAGTTTTGCTTGAGAAAACTTACTGAAGAAAAGTTTATGCAACTCATAGTGCCATACAATCCATATCAACAGTTGTATTCCAAGGAACCACGGTTAAGCATTTATATTCATACTAATCTTGTTAAACAATTAGATCATTCTGGTTATCAGTTGGATAAGATTCCAATGCTTGAGTCCAACAAAACAGAGTTCTTTGGTGAATGTCCCATGTCGTCATTGGAGTTCATTGCTCATCCAAGATTCAACACATGGAACAAATCAAATCCTTTACATTTACTTGTTAAACTAAGACTTGTTCAGGTGTTGGTTGCATTTTCCATATGCAAAGCTTCCAAGTTCTTGGCCTAGTGCAGTACAATCACTAACTCACTTGAGATACCTTTCGATTTCTGTCCAAGAATTTGATTTCAAGTGGATATCTCACCTGCTTGATCTTCAAACTCTAGTAGTTCATTCATCTAACTCTCTAAGAACATCGCTTGCAGCTATCTTGAAAATGAGAAAGCTAAGGCAAGTGGATATATACAATTTGTCCTTGGTATGGGAAGAGAATGATCGAGCAATTTTTGATGAATCTCCAACAACTATGCTAGTGAACTTGAAGACATTCCGCACTTATGTTATACACGTGGATAATAGTACCCCAAGGTTCTGGTGGAGGTTTCCAAATATTGAAGAACTCAGCTGCCTCCGTATTGAAGCTTTACCTAGTTGTCCTTTGTTTCCCTCAGTGGAAGTTCATATTCGGCTTCAATCTCTTAATCTGGTTATAAGCCCTCGGGGATTATTGGATTCAGTTGGTTGGGAGAGCTACTTTGTCTTCCCTTCAAATCTTAGGCATTTGTGCATTGGTGGTTGTTTCCTAACGAAAGAAATGACTTTAAACATTGCAAGATTGAAGAAGCTTGAGAGTCTCACATTAAAGGGAGGATTTCCTTGGGGGGAAATAAAGTACCATTGCTGGGATGTTACAAATGTGGAGTTCCCTGCACTCAAATACTTGGCATTACACTTTATGAGAATGGAAGAATGGAAAGCTTCAGAGGAATCCTTTCCTGTGCTTGAGAAGTTAGTTATAAGAGAATGTCACTACTTCAAGGAGATCCCTATTAGCTTTGCCGATATTCCAACACTGCGACTTATTGTGCTGTTTGAGTGTACTGATTCACTTGTGGCTTCAGCTGTGAACATAAAAAATGAAATAGAAGAAAACACTGGATGTGATAGTCTCCAACTCGGGGTAACAAATTCGTATAAATAACCATTAACACTTTGTGGATGGTAAAGAAATGAACATTGGGTCTAACTCAACTCCATACTTGTTCAAGAGGTGAGTATTGCCCAAATCAGAGTCCAATCTTCCCATCCAGTGGTTTTTTAATTCTGTAACTGAATATTTTTTTTCACAACTTGTAATTTGTCATGGATCAATGTGTATGTTTCAATCTTATAACCCCTATTGTGAGGATAAATTTGTGAAACTGCTTGAATAGAACTTTTTAAAGACTTTGTACATCCAAATACACGTGTAAGCGTAAATTTAGTTTTAAAGATTGAAGGATTCATATAGCTGAGAAAAACTAGATTGGGATTGAGGTGTAGTTGATTCAAATGCAACCATTGGAACATTAACAACAATGTCACCATGTTATGTGTTCCACCATTTGAGAAATTTACTCTAATATCAATATATTTTACTTAAATAAAAGGTCCATATTTATTACTAAAAAGTAGAGTAGCAAATATTTGACAATGTGGTCGGCCATTGAACAGAGAAACGTGGAACGAGTCATTTGTCCATTGAAACGAATATATTCTATTTAACTCTGGATGAAAAAAATTTAAAACAGGACACTCATTTTCTTAAATTGAAGAAAGTATAATGTTTTCTTTTTCAGAAAAAAATAATGTGGGGTACATACTTGGAGCCGTAAACTTAATTAAGTTAAAGTATAAATTAACTTGTTAACACATAGGATTAATTAACATGTATTTATTTGTTGATATTCCCAAGACAAGTATTTGTATCACTCGTCCTACCATCTCCTATAATATGCTACTCTTTCACAATTTCTATTTCTCCAAACCCAAAACCATCACATTTAAGCAACTAATCTCTCTTTCTTATTGGTGTCTGATACAACGGATTGATGATTAGTCTTGTTCATGAGCTCACTTCTTCCTTTTCTGAGCAGAGGCAAATAAAAAAAAAACTGTGAATACCGACTTCTTTTACATCCAGATAGATAACTATATAATTTTAAATTTAGAGAACCTCCAACTTTAAAGAACCCCAAAATGACCTTAAAGATACGTAGTTATTTAGTTTTGGATTGAAATGGAGCAGAATAATACAATAGGATTTATATGGCCGAGAAAAACTAGGTTGGGACTGGAAGAGTGGAAGTGATTTATCTTAATGAGAAACATCAATAGTAGGGACCGCAAGGGCATGGTTGAGTGGTTGGGAGGTGGGTCTCCCATGTGGGACATCTACCAAATCGAATCCAACCTTCATTTGCTACTCAGCTATGAGCTCGTTGCATAGGACTTGTCTAGTGCAGTTTATATCTCTTGTGTGATTTGTGAGCTATTGCAATAAGTAGGTTATCACAAAATGTTCACCACATAGTGTTCACGCAAAAGACAGAGGCTATGATAGAGATGGTGGGTTTACCTGGGATTCCCCCAAAAAAAAACATGAGTAGTAGTAAGAGCTTGTTTAGTGAAGCTTCTTGGAGGCTAAAACCTTTTTTTTTTTTTTTTTTTGCAAATTTTGAGTAGTTCTCATCACTTGTATTGATCATTAATCATACATGTGAGTGTGCTCATTACTTTAGATCTAGAATACATTATCTTAATTAAGTTGATTTTTTATTCTAAATTATTGCTTAACCAAGTCTTACTAGCTATAATCCTTTTATTTAAGCACCACCAACAATTAATTATATTAACTCTAAACCAGAAGTTGACAACCATAAAATTTATTTTTGCAAGTGGAAAATTATTTATCGGTGGAAAATCAAATGGTGCTAATAGGTTCTTAGATTTGACACACGAAAGATTGAAGGTGCGCTAATAGTAACACAACCACGCGCCAGCCTTCATTTATGCTTTAATTAAGGGTTATAAAATCACCAAAATCATGGAAAAAAGATTAATCTCATATGTCATTATAATGATTTTTCAAATAATCTTTCCTTGTCTTTGGACCAAATATGTAAAACTTTTGCATTGTATAGGGACTATCATTGCCCCACTCATACAATTTGGACTATTTTTGTCATGACCTAAATTTGAATTTGAATGGTTCTGACTTCTGACTTAGGATCATTAATCATGCATGTGATCATGTACACATTACTCTTTAGATCTAGAAATACATTATCTTAATCAAGTTGACTTCTTATTCTAAATTATTGTTTAAAGCAAAGTGTTACTGTAATCCTTTAATTTAAGCACCACCAACAATTAATTAATAGTAATGTTATTTTAGTCATTTTTTCTATTATTAGCATGTTAGCGTTCAACATTTATTCAAACTATTCACCATCAATTAAGTTAAATTTCTTTTGTTTGTACTTTAGTAATAGTTGACCAACCAATCCGAGAGAGATGTGAGTCGTTCTTTATTTATTTATATTTATCAGTTGATATTCACTCATGTTATAAAATTCGGGTGTATTTAAATTCAGTCCATTACTGACTTAACATACACCTTAATAAACAAATTAAATTTAATGCTTTCAGAAAAAATATTACATATTGAACACGTATTTAATAGCAGAGATAAAATAAATATAAAAGGATAAATTATCTTTTTAATTTTTTAAACTGGATAAATATTATTGGACATAGTTAATATTCCCACAGCAACTATATATTTGTATCATTCTTCAAGATTGAAGTCCACCATTATCTCCTATAATACAATTCTCTCTCATTTTATATTTCTGTTACCATCACCTTTTGGACCAATTGATCTCTCATTTGTTGCCACCCTCATCAACAACACAAGGTGAGAATCCTTTTTAAGTTCTTTTTGTTCTTATTTTGCTATGTCTCTTCTGATCTTTTGTACAATAATATATATTCACTTTTTATGCCTTCTTTATATATGTTGTAATTATGAGTTCCTTTTCTTTCCAAAATACTCTGATTCACATTGATTATATATATATATATATATATATATATATTTGTATATTTGATCATATTTATCCCTATACTCTTATAAAAAAGATCATATTTGACTTTTATCATACTTTTTGATATATTTATCCTTATCATCCAACTTTAAAGCCATAGTTACCCTTCATCTGTTAAGTTTTCATATTTCCACATAATATTATCTATATGGTGCCTATGTGGATTAGTTTTACCTAATTAAATCTAAATATTATTAAAATCATTTTAACTCACCCACATAGAATTGAACTCGACCCACTAACCACAAAAATGAAGCTAAGACCAAGCCCTTAACTATCGTGGGTTTGGGTTTATGCTTGTCTAGGAGAGATGGGTTAATGGAGTTGTACAGAGGAATGAAATTGTTAGATCTCCACCACCATCGAAAAACTGAAACATCACCCCTATACCATCGAATCAGATCCACCAAATAAATATATCCCCGAACTATTAAATATTCTAGATATATAGAAGTTTCCAGCTGTTTCGAATTTAGTCTCATCTACTCCCCGTTTCACCATCGATAGCCACCGGAAACCAACTTGAATCTTCCATCTCCATTGTTGAACCTCACTTCACCTTCTCCGCCGTCTGATACTATCAAGAAACAGAGCACATGTAGAATGTTTGTGAAATTCTACTAAATGCTAATTAACAAATTTTGTGCGTCGAGATTAAAGATGAAAGTTGGCTCTAATTTACTTAACAAAAATATTGAATTGAATGTTAAAATTTATTTTTAGTTCTAAAGTTGATTGTTGTCTGATATAAAAGAGGAGGTATATAATTTTGTACGTTTGTTCCAATAGAAACGCCGGCCCATAGAGAAAATTTAAGAAGAATCAAATTAGGTTTATTTTGATTAGTGAATTGGGTTTAATGTGTGGAGCAGGTCAAAATTATTTAAATAATATTTTGATTTAATTAGAAGATAATAAAATTCACATAGGCGCTACATTGGTATTTTTAGGTGGGAATATGGAGGTTTAACAAATAAAGGATAAATATGATCTTACAGTTGGATAACAATGGCAAATATATCAAAAAATTCATAAGAAAGGGCAAATATAATCTTTTTCTAAGAGTCTAGGGGTAAATATGACCTTTTTTCCGTTTTATTTATTAGTGGACTGTGGAGTCCATGTTTATATGACATAATAAAATAAAAAATTATATTGTCATGTCAAATTTTATTTAATAATTAATTTAGTTGAGTGATTTTGGAAGATAAAAATCGTAAGTTAAGTGATTTTGGAAGATATCAAACAAAGTTGAATAATTTTACTATATCAATTCTCATAAGTTGAGTCATCTTTTAGAATATTAACTCATTTTTGAAGAAATAGATATTTTGTCTAATTAAACCCCCTCCCAGCCAAAAAGAAAAACGAAAAAAAGGCTCACACAGACTAGCAAGGAGGGCGGCGTGGAATTAATACTTCCAGCAACGGGAAGAAAATTCCTTTTATTCATGTCGATTACATATCGGTGACACATGAGACTTGAAAAGACTCATTTATTTTATCTGTTAAAAGTTGTTTGAGTCTTATTGAGGTAAAAAAAAATGATTTTACAAACAGCAATAATATGATCCAAAACTTTTAACAGATATATAAATGTGCCTTGGTTTTGGTTTTTTTCTTCTCTAAGTTATGAAATAATGTGGTTTCCTTTCTTTTATGAAATTAGGGTGACAAAGCAATTAATTCAAGGCATGGAAGTTGTTGAGACTTGTGGAAAAGGAACTCTTTCTGCTGGAGAGCCTTCCACCAAACGTAGTATTACATCAATTTATGATGATGAAGAAGTAGTGGGCTTTGAGAAAGATGCAGAAATTATAATGAAGAAATTGATACGAGGAACAAAGGAACGGGATGTTATCTCCATCTATGGAATGCCTGGACTTGGTAAAACAACTTTGGCAAGGAAGGTGTACAACAACCCCACTACTGTTAATTACTTTGATGTTAAAGCATGGTGTGCTGTGTCGCAAACATATAATAGGAGGGGATTATTGGTTGAGATTTTCAAACAAGCAACAAGTAATGAGAATGAAATCAAAGAGGATGTTGACATAGCTGACATGTTGCGCAAGAGTCTAATAGGCAGAAGATACCTCATTGTATTAGATGATATTTGGGATGTCGAGGCATGGGAAGATTTGGGAATATGTTTCCCTGAAGGTGAATATGGAAGCAGAGTAATGGTCACAACACGAATTGAACAAGTGGCTAAGCATCTTCAGGTCCACAGTGTTCCTTATTCTCTTAGCTTTCTAACGTCCGAAGAGAGTTGGGAATTATTGGAGAAGAAGGTATTTCGAGGAGAGAGTTGTCCCCCGGATCTACTGGAAGCAGGGTTACAAGTTGCCCTACACTGTAAGGGATTGCCTCTTGTGGTTGT